CTCTGTGGCGGCTTTTGGCCAGATTCCCGCGGGTTTTTCACGACACTCCCGCCAAAGATATAAACCAATCCATCAACCGCGAACTCCACTACGAATACTGCTTGCCGGCCTCCCAGTCACTTTCCCAACTCGTGACAACATGTTATGAATGGAGCCCCTTTTCAAAAATCGTTCTGAACCGGGAGGGAACTGAACCACTCCTGTTCACGCCTCGACGCAATGTGTTACCACTGCACCACCGGATCCTGTGCTCCATGTTCAACCTGGCAGCACATCTACTGTGTATCTGCCTTTCAAGGCAAATACAGATTCCTATTCTTTTTATGCGTTTTTGCCGTGCAGCGCTACAGCGTTGCAACAGGCAGCAAAAACGCATATTGCAACGACCCTGTCAGTGTGTGTGTCTGTTTGTATGTGTATGTTTGCCTGTCCGGGTATTTCAACTAACCATCCACGCAAGCCCTGAAGCTGAAATTTTGCCAGAATGTTCCCCAGCCAAGTGCCACCCCAGGACCGCGGTATCAACATCTGGGCCCCGCGTACGAGCACGTGAAAGTTCCGGCGAGAAAACTGCTAATTCGGGGACAAGAAAAGCAAGAAATCTGAAACCACAGGGGGATGCTCCCTACTCGTATACAACAAAAAGATTTCAAATTCAGCCGCCCAGGACTGCCCAGGACTTACGTACGGGCACGTGAAAATTATGGCGGGAAAATTCATAACTCGGGGACGAGAAAAGCTAGAAAGTTGAAACTCTGGGGTAATGTCCCTTACTTGCGCATGACCAAAAGTTTTCAAACTCAGCTCCTTAGGACCGGCCGGGGCTCACGTCGGGGCACGTGAAAATTTTGGCGCGAAAATTACTAGCCCGAGAATTTATGGCAATATTCCCCACTCATGTATGAGCAAAATCAGACGTTTAGGAGCACCCGGGGCTCACGTACGGGCACGTGGAAATTTTGGAGCGAAAATTACTATCCGGAAACGGGAAAAGTTAGAAATCTGAAACTTCAAGGGGATGTCCCTTACTTATGTGCGAGCAACATCAGGCGTTTGGAAGCGCCCGTGCCCACGGACGAGCGCGTGGAAATTTTGGCGCGAAAATTACTAACCTGAGAGTGGGAAAAGCTAGAAAGCTGAAACTTTCGGGGAATGTTTCCTACTCACGCACGACCAAGGTCAGGTGTTTAAATGCGCCCGTGCCCAGATACGAGCGTGTGGAAATTTTGGCGCGAAAATTACTAACCCAGGGACGGGAAAAGCTAGGAAGCTGAAATTTGAAATGTTCCCCACTTAAAACATTTCATGTTCCCTACTCACGTATGACCAAAACATTTCATCAGCTCCTTAAAACCGTCCGGTACTCACGTACGGGCACGTGAAGATTTTGATGGGAAAACTGCTAACTCAGGAACGGGAAAAGCTGAAGGCTTTAATTTTAAGGGAATGTTCCCTCCTCATGTGCGACTAAAACATTTTAAACTTAACTCTTCTTGTGTGGCCTTTTTTTGCGGATCAGCAACTTTCCATTTGTCGGGTCACTGAAGTCGACACCTACAACTGACATATCACATAGTTGCACAATTTCCCGAACTTCGAGGGCCAGTAATTTACAGGGTTAACTCCTGTGATTCCTTGCGATCTTGTTACGGCACGAAAAGTGCAAAAACGTATAATCGCACCAGCCCACCTGGTGCGTTCCAATCTGGGGTTTTTTTTTTTTTTAATTCAGAAAAAAACCACTGAGGAAACACCCCTTCAAGCAAATCTGTGAAAAAACTTCGAAATGACTCACCACCAGGTCTGTTAGCAGATTTTTTCGGTGTATCCTCTTTTTGTTCCATTGCTCG